CTCCCTGTAGCCCCAGCTGGCCTGGAACTCACTGTGTAGACCAGGCTGGCCTTGAACTCACTGAGATCCACCTGCCTTGGCCTCCCAAGTGCTGGGATTAAAGGCCTGCACCACCACACCTTGCATTACATTTGCAAGTCTATTAACTTTACACCAGTTCCTGCTCGTATGTTAATTAGCTCAAGTAAAAATACCAGAGCTTGCACCACAGCTGCAATTAGATTCATGGATTACATATAAAATAAATATGTCTACACAAATATATGGTTATACATCCACCAATATTCTGCACAGGCCAACTAGGACTCCTAAAGTGAGATGTTGGTATCTCCCACCCCCTGCATCTTTCAAATTCTGAATAGTGGCAATGTGCTTCACAATCCCGCTAAAAATTCAGAGTGATTTGGGTTAACATTTTCTTTGATACAGGACATTTGATCATTTCCATCCTGATTTTCCAACAATAGTCCTCAGTTCAAAAGCCAAGGGACCAATGTGAGGATTATGCAAAATTCTAAGAATATTTATACAAATTATAGACTTTGAAATAGATACAGGGTGAAATTAGGCACACATTGTTAACCTGAGTCAGACTTTGGGTGCGACTCCATTGATGACGTCAACTCCATATGCACTGGCATTAACTGTAGGGAAACAAGCCTGTCTGGATTCTGATAGAAACAACCTCTATTCAAAGACAGTATGACAAAGTGACAAAAGCCTGAATGTCTACTTTTCCCCAATGTACACTTGTCCAACTTAAAGGCTGTAGTTATATTTGGGGAAGAGAAATGGAAAAGTGCTTGATGTTGTAACATTATACATTAAAAAACACTGTGGGGGGTGGAGAGATGGCTCAGTGGTTAAGAACACTAGCTGTTCTTACAGAAGACTGTGGTTCGAATCCCAGGACCCACATTGCATCTAGCAACTGCCTATAACTCCAGTTCCAAGGGACCTGACACCCTCATGACATCTGTGGGCATTGCATGGCACAGGTTCACTTACATATATGCAGGCAATACATGCATGCACATAAAAATGAAAATAATAAATTAAAAAAACACTGTGCTGTTTAGTAAGTGTAACTTGAGTGCTCAATCATATTCGCCATGATTGGATGGGAAAGTGAAAGCTTTTCCACATTTTTTTTATGGTGGTAGTTTCTCATACAAATTAATAAAGTCTGGCAATTTTACACTTTTGTACTTAATTCTAAGTTTTCCTTCAGCACACTATGAAGTTCTGCAATACATAAACATAAGTGTTTCAACATTTTCCAGACTTTTACACATATTCCTTTAGTACAGATTCTATTTGTATTCTAAGGATTGAGTCCAGGATAAAGGATGTACCAAATTCTGAGCAACTGTAAACTATTCTTTAGCATGAGTGTTTGATAACTGCTACCATTTGACATATGATTAAAGGAAGAGCCACATTCTTTATACTGCAGTGTCTCCCTTTATTATAACTTCTTTGATGTTCTCTAAGAGTTGAAATACAAGGAATCGACTTCTCAAAACATTTTCTTTTGGAGGTTTCTCTCCAGTATGAATTCTCTGGCACCTTCTTTGTGATGAGTGCTCAGTTGGTCGTAGTCATCTTATCAGAATAGATACTTTCCAGTATGAGTTCTCTGATGAAACATTAAAACTGACATACAACTCAAGGACTTCTCAGGTGCTTCACATTTGTAGGGTTTCTCTCACATATGAATTACATGATGTGCTCTGAGATATATTTCTAAGGGACTTCTTACTTTCTTCACATTCATAGTGATTCTCTCCTATATGAAATATATTATGTGTCTTATAAGTTGAGCTCACCCCAAAGGATTTGTCACACTCTTCATATCTGTAGGGTTTCTCTCCAGTATGTATTTGCTGATGTCCTCTAAGACTTGACTACTGACTAAAGGACTTGCCATATTCTTCACATTTGTAGGGTTTCTCTCCAGGATGTATTCACTGATGTACTCTAACATATGACACATGACTAAAGGACTTACGACATTTTTCACATTTGTAGGGTGTTTCTCCAGCATGTATTGGCTGATCTGTTCTAAGACTTGACATTTTATTAAAGGATGTTCCACTTTCTTCACATCTGAAGGGTTTCTCTCCTATATGTATTTGGTGATGTAATTGCAATGTTGACAGATGAGTAAAGGCCTTGGCACATTCTTCATATCTGTAGGGTTTTTCTCTATTATGTATTCGCTGATGTTTTATAAGAGTTGACATTTGAGTAAAGGACTTGCCACATTCTTCACATCTGTAGGGTTTCTCTCCAGTATGTATCCGCTGATGTAATCTAAGATGTGAGATTTGACTAAAGGACTTGCCACATTCTTCACATCTGTAGGGTTTCTCCCCAGTATGTATTCGCTGATGTCTTCTAAGATTTGACCCTGTACTAAAGGACTTGCCACATTCTTCACATCTGTAGGGTTTCTCTCCAGTATGTATTCGCTGATGTAATCTAAGATTTGACCATTTACTAAAGGACTTACCACATTCTTCACATCTGTAGGGTTTCTCTCCAGCTTGTATTTGCTGATGTACTCTAAGACTTGACATTTCACTAAAGGCCTTTCCACATTCTTCACATCTGTAGGGTTTCTCTCCAGTATGTATTCGCTGATGTCTTCTAAGATTTGACCCTGTACAAAAGGACTTGCCACATTCTTCACATCTGTAGGGTTTCTCTCCAGTATGTATTCGCTGATGTAATCTAAGATTTGACCATTTACTAAAGGACTTACCACATTCTTCACATCTGTAGGGTTTCTCTCCAGTATGTATTCACTGATGTGCTCTAAGACTAGACATTTCACTAAAGGATTTGCCACATTCTTCACATCTGTAGGGTTTCTCTCCAGTATGTATTCGCTGATGTGCTCTAAGACTTGACCACTGATAAAAGGACTTGTCACATTCTTCACATTTGTAGGGTTTCTCTCCAGTATGTACCTCCTGATGTTTCCTACAATTTGGCCATTTAGTAAAGGACTTGCCACATTCTTCACATTTGTGGGGTTTCTCTCCAGTATGACTTCCCTTATGTACTTCGAAACTTGATGTCGAAGTAAAGGACCTTCCACATTTTTCATATCTGTAGGATTTCTCTAAATTATACTTGCTCTGATGTCTTCTAAGAGTTGAGCTCTCCAATCAAAGGAAAAAAGAAGACATTTCAATATGGAGAATAAGGCTGACATAATCACACACAGATAAATAAGGAACATGTAATATGCATGAATACAATTTCCAATGTTGAGAAACATTCAAATAAGTAAAAATAAAAATCTATGGAGTAAAAGAAGGAGGTGAAATTAAAACTAAAGTGAGAAAATTTATTCAATAAAAATAAATTAGAAAATATATGAAAAAATGGATGTATAGTCACAAGAGAGTCATTTAGAAAGTTGAAATAAATATAAACAGAACTCTACATATAAGCCAAAGGCAACATGAGAAAACTACTAAGAAAAAAATGAAAATCTGTACTTAATCCTGTTAGGGAAAAATATCAACTCATTACAAAGGCAGGAAATCTGTAGTAATTCAGATCTCTTCTCCAGAATATGCAGAGGAAAAACAGCATGAAATAATGTAAAACTACATATATCATACTGAAAGTGAACATATTAACTAAAATTGACTTGCAAACAAAATATCTCTTAAAATTGATGGAGGAAGAAGGTCATTTGAAGAAATGTATTAATTCATGGCAGCCAGCCATCAGTTCAGAATTTATGGAAGCAAACACAACACAACACAGAGGAGAAACATACTCTCATTCATGGGAACAGAAGTCGGAATAAAATTGAAACATGTAATTGATGAATGCATCATGTCCCAGAAGGAATCCATCACTAGCAACGCAGAAAACAATGTGAGGCCAATATTGATACTAATAAAGATTAATACTAATCAATGATTCTAAAAGCCAGAACACCAGCAAAATCATACCGAATAAAAAAAATGCTCTCAAAATATTAAATGAAAACAGCCTCAAGTCACCACATAAAACAGAGTCAAGAAGAGTGGCTTTAAAGTGACATTGAAGAATCTCTTCTGTTCAAGAAACACATTTTACTGACAATGACACCCAGAAACCTAGAATTAATTATGGCAAACATATGACCAGCTAAAAGAATATGTATTTTCCCAAAATTTGTAGGAAAAAACACTCAAGAGCTGAATTATTACATAAATGAATAGGATTTCAAGGAGATCCATGGATTGTTACTTAGAAGTACAAATGAAAAATTTTCATATTTCCATAGAAATTATTTTAGAAAAGATCACATTATGGGTTGCAAAGTCAGCATCATCAAAATCAAATGATGTTAAAAACTGATTGAACTGCTTACTTGCCAACTTACAAGAATAAACACGTGACTGCTTGTCTTTGAGTAAATCTTGGATCAAGCAATTTACCTTTTGGACTTAACCTTTAAAAGCTCCCATCTCTTCCCACATAGTGCAGCTTTCTCTAATTTGCCCAGAGAGTGTAGTCACTGGTTCCATATATTCAAATGATTAAATGGTTGTATTTTAAAGAAGAATGGAGAATATATTGAATCATGAATTATAGGCACTCAGAAGTGGCACAGGGATAAAATATGATGAGTTTAAATATTTTAGTGGTAAACTTAAAAATTAAATCTATAATGTCAGGTGTGGTGGTGCGTGCCTTTAATCCCAGCAGAGACAGGCAGATCTCTGTGAGTTCAAGGCCAGCTTGGTCTACATAGTGAGTTCCAGGCCAACTTGGGCTACAAAAAGACCCCATCTCGAAAAGACAGAAAATAAAAACAAAAACAAACAAAAAACCCTATAATCATCCTGAAAAGCCAATGTGGAGTCAAGGACTTTCCCAAAGTTTGCTGAATGCCCGAAAACTGAGACATGAGTCAAGTATTGAATGGGGACATTCACAGTGCCCTTTGTGCTCCCAGTCTTTTTTTTTTTTTTTTTTTTTTTTTCTGTTTTTTTTACGATGGGGTTTCTCTTTAGCCCCAGCTGTCCTGGAAGTCACAAAGATCCCCCTGCCTCTGCCTCCCAAGTGCTGGGATTAAAGGCATGTGCCACCACACCCGAAACCTAAGGTAATCTTTATCTTTTTAGCTTATTTCAAATTTGAAACTGAATTTTATCTATTTTCTCTTATATTACCAGAGAGTCCATTGTGGATCTTTTTCATCTGATTTACAACTGAGAAAAATTATTCAGGAGATAAAACATTAAACTTTGCCTATATCTTTAGAGCTTTCAGTCTAGTATGCATGGAGTTCAGTGACTAAGACAATGGAAAGACTGAATCATGAGAAGGAAGGTCATGACATCAGAAATCTCATCTCATGGCTGATAAGAATTGTAGAGAGAAGGAAGGTGCCTGAACAAGACACATCCTCCAAACCACAGCTCTGGGAACTGTATCCTATCTGTGAAGAAAACAGAAGTCAGAAATGTTATAAATGTACAATCATATGAGCAGCATGAGAAAGCATGCATTCCAAAGAAGGCTGGACTGATGTGCACACACACAAAAGCACACACAGGAGTATGTGCAAACTTCCAAAATCAGAGAACAAATGAAGAACTGCACTGGACAATATGGTAAGTCTTAAATATTATACGCAGTCAATGTTTCACAATCTCTTTTCTGACCAAACTGGAACATAGACATCAACTGTAGGTAGCAAACAGAAGAATCCCCAAATGAGATGTAGACAGTCCCAAATATTTAACACATTCTTATTTAAAATGGGCAGAGAATATAGAATTTCATGCTATATGAATATACTATGTGATTCTCATCGAAGTCTTACAATCATTTTTGGAAGAAATACATTAGCAATTGTAAAACAATGAAAAGGCACGAAGAATCAGAATGGCACAAACATTTTCAAATGAGGAACAAAACAAAAGGCACAAAATTTACTAATTTCATGATATGTTAAAAACTTGAATTGATAGACCTTAAAACTATCACAGAATGCATAAGATCTGGACGGGGAGAACAGATCGAGTAGGGGGTATAAAGATGATTAAGGGGCTTTTTTGTTTAATGAAATGTACAATAAAAAATATACATTAAAAAAAACTGCAGTACTGGAAGAATTCACAGAAAAATGAATCATCTACTAGCTTGCATTAGCAAGAAATGTGACATTGGAGATAAGGAAAAATTAAATAAATGAAGTGAGATTAGCATACTAGTAATTGCCAAATAATTTGTGTGCAATGAAAGAAGTCATTGGACATTTACCACAGGACAAATTTTGATGAAACTACTATAAATTAAATTATCAGGATCTCTAATGCAACAGACTATGGCAAAACAATTTTCAGGTCTTAATTCCTCTTTCCTTAGGTCCTTGCACCTGGGCCCCTCCACTGAGTCCTACCTGGTTGGCTACAGCCTCCCTTCTATTCACATTCCAGGACTCCTTGTTTTCCTCCAGACAGGAGACCAGAATAGGCTTACGCACAGCATGACCTGTGTGTGAGAAAGAGGCACATGCGCTTGCTGGATTCTTTACACAGTATGGGATTTCTATCACAGCACTGTGCTCCACTGGAAATACAGAGAAAAAGACATGACTCTCCAAATAATTTCTCAATTTTTATTTTAGGACAGACGTATTAGAATACAGAGGAATTCTTTCAGTTTTCACACACTGAGTTCTATCAATGATTCAAATGGAACCTTAAGATTCTGGCTGCAGTATCATGTATTAATGGGAGGCTGAAATTAACTCCAAAAATAATGAATAATAATAATTGCTGTATAATCAAAAAATAATTCC